CCAAATCTATAAACAGCTCTATTACCTTGTTTATACTTACCCAAGAACCGCATTAACAAAAAGCTGATCTGCCTCAACACATATTTATTTCAAGCATTTATACCTTTGTCGTTATGGCCCACTCGCTGAAACCGTATTCAAAAGTAAACAAAATTTATTATTTTTATTCGATATTTCTTAAATTATTTATTTGCGCGGTGTAATCACAACGAACTGGGTCAAAGCGCTTCATGTGTTGGTATAAACAAGGTATATGATTTTGTTCTCAGAGATCGTGCCAACTGAGTATTGGAATTTTCTTTCACAAGTAAAACCAGCTTTTCGAGCTTGTTACCTTGTTTATACCGACACATAAAGCGCTATGACTCAGTTCGGTGTGGTTCAAATCAGATGCATAAACAAAATTTCAATGCGTGCTGAAATCGATAGGTGTATTGACTCAAATTTGTTTTCAAATCTTTTTTTTTATTTCTCACATCGGTTAAAAAAAAACCGTATAAACGAATAACTCATTTAACGTAAAATCAAAATTGGCTATTCTTCTTTATACAGCCCGTTTTTAATTGTATTTATTATTAATAAATTTGTATTTCTGCTCGTTTCCATTTCGGTCCACCGCGTAAATTTATTATTAAATAAATATCGAATGAAAGTAACGAAGTTTGTTTACTTTTCAATACGGTTTAATCGAGTGCACTATAAAGACTGAGGAATAAACGTTTGAAAGAAATATTTGTTGAATCAAATCGGTTTTTTGTTAATGCGGTTTCTTCGTAGGTATAAACAAGGTATGTGTTTAGTATTCACGACGTTAGAACTGCATGAAATTAATACAAAATTTTTAAAATTATTGTCTAGCCGCCAAAAAGTAAGAAAACAAATGCGAAATCATACATTTTTCACAATTTTCTAACACTTCGCCACACTATCGAAAGCAAAATTCTGTTAGACAAAAAATTTTATACTCAACGATAATTTCGACACGGTTGCTAGTTCATAATATGAATTTCACTTTCGAAATCGAATGCAACTCATCCCAGTCGGAAAATGAGTTAGGAATTACGTAAGTGTTTCATTATTTAATGCATGATAAATTTTAATTCTAAAATAGATACTGAAATTAGGTGAAAAGTAGTCCGAATAGTAAATTTATACATTTGATCTAACATTATATAGTAATGCAAAAATTAGTTTATAGCAGAATATATTCAACTATACATTACACGATAAACGAGAAGATAATACAAAAATAAGCGATATTGTAAACATTATCGATATATTTTTACCGGTATTAGCAAATACACATCTTCTGCCGCTTTTACATATGGGCAATTCTCAATTAGTTCGAACTTTCGCATGACTCGCCAATTTTTCTTCGGACACATAATTTTCGCTTGTTTATTAACACAAATCAGGTTACTTATATTGTGTAGATTATGTAAATGCAAAAAAGGACCACCATACATATTTTCTACCCAAATATGCATATAATTTAGAAATAAAATTGGGCAATTTTCATAAATAAATGAGCGACTCCTATTTATTTTATTTTTTTACGTTGCAAAAATTGGGGCGTTGATTGGTCATGTTTGAGTTTATAATTCACTGGAAGTATTTGGAGAGGAGAATCGAAAACACCACGTTAGATGTAAGTGCTTGCAATAGAAAAGAAGTTATGAAGAGTCAAAGAGGCGTGACTCCTTTTTTAAATTCTTACACTTGCGGGTTTTATTGTATACTGTAGCTGATGCGTACCTAAAACTGTTATCGGATAACTTTTATAGTGCTCTGGAGCATAAGAGGAATCAATCTAGACATGGCAGGCTTATGTGCTCTCATTAGAAGAAATTAAAAACAACTTCTTGAAAAGGTTACGATGCGTGCTCAATGGTAAAAATACATATTTTTTATTAGCACATCTTCTGGAATTGGAAAATTTAGCCAAATACGTGTGTTGTGCTCTATTGTACAATATATTATTGAACTATGATCCTCGTGTACCACTTTTTTATTTGTTCATTAAAAAGTTACAGAGCGAAAAAGAAATAAGAAAAGCCGAAAAAACTATATATATAATTCTAAAGGCATTTTTTGTCCATGTCATGAAATCTGCACCGTTCGTTTGATTTTCGAAAATGATGTGTCAAATGAGAGAGCTTGGGCTGTAGATGCTAGGACTTACCATTGATTTTTGGCGGTTTGTGTTCGGAAATTTTTTTATATGAAAAAAATGCGGAGCATCGTCAATAAAAAAAATTGCCAAAAATCAACGGTAAGTCCAAGATACTTAAAATTTGCAATTTGCTTGCTAAAATTTAATGGGCTACAAAGCTTAATACCAAAATTTTGTCTAAAGATGCTGATCAAGACATTAGAGGATTTGGTCAAACTTTGCAAAATTTTCATGACTTTTGCACAAAGTCTGAAATTTGGATTTATTTCATATTTGTTAATTAACCAGCTATAATTTCTTAAAAAAATAGTAAACGTTAAATAAAATGTATAAAAATAGCCAAAACTTACTAAAAAGTCCCGTCCCAGTTTTTATTTGGTTCGCTGTATGTGTATCTCAAAATCCGACAATAACCACGCCCACATCTACTTGCGCGGGGTATTTAATGTTCGGCTCTGCTCGAACTTGAGACTTTAACTTGTTTTGAATTCAAGTTTTTCGTTCTTGGGAAACAACGAAAATGTAAAAAGCAAAACAAGAAACTTGAAACTTGAAACGCCTTGACAGTACAGGCGAATGTGTACTCTTCCCTTCTCACCCCTCTCTTCCAGTTGCAAGCAGAATTGAATTCAATACTTGGTGCAAACATTTATTTTCTGTCAATCGGCTGGTTTATAAAAAAAAGGCAAATTTTCAAATAAGATAGTGCAGAATCAATACAAAATCCTTCTTCTCGCTCTTATTACTTCACCTGGTACAATTTCACCATGACTTGCACCGTGTAAAACCCGTCATACATATTTTCAATTTATGACAATACATACATCCATTTTTTATAATATTTACATATTTTCACGCAGTATCTTCCATACAGAAATTTTTTTTTGAAAATACTTTATATGGAAAAAATGCAAAACTCCTTCAACAAAAAAATTTCAAAAATCAACGCGATTTTTGAGTAATTTTTTACTAGAATTTAATGGGCTGCAAACTGCATACTCAAAAAAATTCTAAAAAATCTGATTAAAAGGTTGAAGATTTTGATGAAAATTTGCTGAATTCTCGGGAGTTTTGCACAAAGTTTAGGAACTATACTTTTATAATTTTTGTTGTAGAATGAACCATATTTTTATAACAAATTTGCGGAAAAATATTAGAATGGAAATTGTTGCATATATTGTGAAAAATTTGCTGTGCCAATACTTTCTTTCGGCAGTGTATATATATACAATGCACATAGAACTTGCACCGTTACGTTATCACTAATTATTTCGCTATTTGCACTTGCATATATGTAACTTATTTGAGATCTATATCCCAAAATATTTCACTTTGCAATTAAAATTTGTTTTTCCCCTTTCATCTTTTGCTTAAAACTATTTCGATAAAGAAATGTTACTAGAGTTCACCCTTTAATGCAAAATGTGTGCATTTGAGCGAAAGTGGAAAAATGTGAAATATTCTACAGCTTTTTAAACAAACATATGGCAACGTTTCGCACTTTAAGTTTCGCACAAACGCACAGCTAAAACCCTGACTGGCAGCCTTATTCTGTATCATGAACGATAGGCAACACGAACGATTCGTCTGCAGAGAAATGCTTAAAAAATTAGTCCGGCGGCAACCGAAACCATTGCATAGGGACACGAATTTCGATACGATACGATACCATATCGATACTTTTGGCATTCTATACCAATATTTTTTACACGATAGTTTTAAAGCGATATGTTTTGGAATCGAGTACCAGAACCCTGGTATCGTATCGAATGTCTAAAACTCAAATTAATAAGATAATCACCCTCATTGCGAGAGTCGTGTAGAATGCAAGTCGTTTTTCGAGGGTCGAATCATATCGATAATTTCACGTCATTGCCTAAATATTTTTCTATGTAAATACATATTTTACATAGAAAAATTTGCATTGACAAATACCGCACATAAGAAAAAACTGGCTACTTCAAAATTTTTGTAGAATGTTCTAAAATTCACTTTACATTTTCTAAAATCCAATTTACGCTTTCTAAAATACAATTGACTATTCTAAAATCCAATTGACGCCTTCCAAAATCCAACTGGAAAAAGTGTAGATTTATTTCTGCGTCAAAAATAAAATTTTGAAAAAAAATGTCGCTTACATATTTTTGGCGATTAGGGCTCGATATGTTATTTAGTTCAAAACGAAAAAGTTTGGATGGTAAGTGTATCAAATTTCTCAAACGAAATTTTATGGGACACCCTAATGTGCATCAGAGTGGTCCAAAAAAATAAAGTCGGAGTTTTAATGCTGGCACACCCTAGGATTGATCTATATCGAAAAAATATACCCCTATTTTTTATTTTGAAATCAAAAAATATTTAGGGAGTGCTCAAAGCGCTCAAAGTTTTCCATGTATTTTATATGGAGAAACAACGATTTTTCGTAGAAATGGTATAAAACTCTTGAAAATCAATATTTTTCGACCGGAAAACTGTGGGTCTCTTCAAGAGACTTCCAATATTAATATCCAATTGTTTATTTAACCATTTTTTATGATGATTTTATGATTAAGATTTTTTATTGGTCCCCCATTGCATTTTCTAAGGGCTTTGGAGGACCTATAAAATATAGTTACCATGAAAAAATTGTTAAAGAAACAATTGAGTATTATTACTGGGAATCTCCTGAAGATGAGTAAAGTTTTCCGATCGAAAAATATTGATTTTCAAGAATTCTATATAACAATCCTAGGGGGTGGCGGCATTAAAAATTCGACCTTATTTTTTTTACATACATTTTTGGACCACTTTAATGTACATACATAGATTTCAGTTTTTAAAGACTTACCTCAAGAGTCTTGTTGGACCAATCGCTTCCATCCCTTTTCAGATTTTCAACAATTTCCTCAACAGAATTAGCTGTGAAACATTTATTTATTTTATCCATGACTGCGTTCAGAATGAAATCATTTTTAGAGGGTGAGTTATACTTTTCAAGGATATTGGGTACTATATCTGCATCTTTACAATTAAGCAGATCATTTTGTAAATCTCCTAGTTTCGTACTCTCACAATAGTGCGTTGCTATTCCCGCTTTCAATACATCATCTCCTTTCAGTCTAAACCCAGTCAGCCCAAGGAAGAGTCCAAGTTTTCCCTGTAGCCGCGGCAGGAAATAAGAACCACCTACGTCCGGGAAAAGACCGATAGCGGTTTCGGGCATAGCGAGAAGTGTACGTTCAGTTGCAATACGGTATTTCCCATGAACAGAGAGGCCAACACCACCACCCATGGTAATGCCATCCATAATAGCAATGTACGGTATAATGTAATTGCCAATTAATGCATTTAATGTATATTCTTCTCGGAAAAAAGCCTTAGATTCCTCAGTAGGCCCTGCTTCGACTATGGATCGTACATCGCCACCGGCACAAAATGCCTTTCCTCCAGCGCCTTTGATTATTACCATTAATTTCGACAATTCACATTTTTTCAAGTGTTTATATATTTTTCTTGTCATATCTAAATTAAGTGCGTTTAAAGCGTTAGGTCGGTTCAGAATAATCATACCCTTATCAGATGACTCAGGAGCCAGCACAAACGAGGAATTTTCGCGCACATTTATCAAAGATGCCATTATGGAACCGCTTGAGGGCTTCTTTGTAAGTATAGGCATGGAAAAGGTACGATGACCAAACGCATAAATTATTCGCTGAATTGGATGCATCTTGAAGAAAAAAAATTTACCATCAATGTACATTTAATAAAATATATAAGTACATAAGTAAAAAATTACACTCACAAATTATACGCACAATGACAGTATGAATTACAACAAACACATCATTTTGATGTCATGCTTTTTACGGCGAAAAATTCAGCTGTCGCCCCAACACTACCTTATCAAATTCGCCTTTAATTGAACTACATATTTGGATAAGTTAAATAATAATAATAATTTGCCCTTGCACATTTGCTAGTGTTAGGCCGAGCTTCTCCTCCAATTTGTGGCGTGCGCCTTGGTGTTGTCACATAAAGGGGAGGAAGCTACAGTTTTACGCCGCCTCCGAACAGCGATTGTATTTTTGTGAGAAGCTGTTTTTCATGGCAGAAATACACTCGGAGGTTTGCCATTGCCTCCCCAGGGGTGACCGCTGTTAGAAAAAAAAACAAAACTGTGTTCTTTATTTTTTTATTTTTTGATGTTGGGTTGAACCAGGCCCTGCGGAATGGAAGCGCGCACTGCTAACCACTACACCAGCGGTCGCCAGACAATAGACAAGTTAAATAGGTGAAGATAAAAAAGACCAAAATTATTATTATTACGGTTTCCTACCATATTCATTGTACATACATAATTAGACTGAATTCGTATTTTTGCTGTACATATCGTTTTTGATAAATTTTCACCAATGCTCCACATAATATTAGCATATATATGTATGTACATGCATGCATACATATGTACATATTCCCTCGCTAGGGCAGGCACCTTGTCGTTGGTGCGGGGGCTTAGCTGAATTGCCGATCAGCCCATCTCTGGTCTGGGGTATCGTGGACGCGCTCGTCGCTTCTGCGCTACCTTGTCTCCAGATTGGGGCTGCCGGCCAACGGTGACCAAGAACTGCCACCTCCTAATCCAGGGTGTTACGCGAGACCGAGCCTATTGGACGGTTTGCAGCCAGGAGGGAATAAACCGGCTGTAATATAACGGCGCCTCTTCGACACCGGGCCGCATCGAGGAGTAACGGTGGCCTTACCGCGACATGGGGCGCTGGCGCGGCGGACCAGATGAGATCCCCTATTACAACTTTGACTGCTGAGCTTGCCTAGCCGGGCTGGCAGTCGTACGAACAAGATGAATACAACTAAAAACCAAAAAAACACAAAAACAACAAAAACAACAAAAACCATCGCGAAACCCGCGAAAACAGCTACAGCTACAGCTACAACTACAGCCACAACAGCTGCAACAGCCACACCATCAGCAACAGCCTCTACAACAGTCACAACTACAGCTACAACAGCAGCAGCAGCCACGAAGACAGTTATGTCAAGGGCACCAAAGGTACCAACGGTCAAGCTCGGCAGTTCTATGCTGGGCGAAGGTAAAGGCACCAGGCGCAGGGGAGGCTTTCTTGCGAGCCTATCCGAGGAGGAGGCTGCCCTTTTTATTGAACACGCCAGAGAAGATGAGAGGCCAAGCACTAGCAGTGGCGGCGTGGATCGGGCGCAGCTTCGGTCGGAGGGCACCAAGGGTGCAGAGGCTCTGGCCTCAAAAAACAGGCACCGATCGCCAAGTAGGAACCGGGGGGCCAGTTGGCGTCGCTCCAGGAGTCGTGACCGCTCCCGGAGCCATGACCGCTCGGGGAGCCGAGGCCGATCCGAGGGTCGGCATCGCTCGAAGAGCAGGCATCGCTCAGGCAGTGGGCACCGCTCTAGCAGTAGGCACCGCAGGTCTCCTAGTCGAACCTCATCGCTCGAGTCAGGGTGGCAGCTGCAAGACAGCAAAAAGAAAAGCCGCAGGTGTAGACCGCCTCCACTTCCGCCCTCCGGTCAACCGGGAGCCCTTGACGACCACCATCGAGCTGGTCTTAGTGGATCGGGGGTCAAGTGGTATCTCCGGTACCTGGAGCAGGGGAAGAAGCCGAGCGTAGCCCGCGCAATGGCGGAAGTAAGGCAAGAGGTGGAGAAAGAGGCACAAGAAAGTGGTAAGACGGCTGCAACCGCCGGCATGCAGCAGAGAGGTGAACTACCCGCGCCTGCTGAAAAGCAGAGAAGCGGGCAACAGCATCAGAAACCCGCGCCTGCTGAAAAGCAGAGAAGCGGGCAACAGCATCAGAAACCCGCGCCTGCTGAAAAGCAGAGAAGCGGGCAACAGCATCAGAAACCCGCGCCTGCTGAAAAGCAGAGAAGCGGGCAACAGCATCAGAAACCCGCGCCTGCTGAAAAGCAGAGAAGCGGGCAACAGCATCAGAGACCCGCGCCTGCTGAAAAGCAGAGAAGCGGGCAACAGCATCAGAGACCCGCGCCTGCTGAAAAGCAGAGAAGCGGGCAACAGCATCAGAGACCCGCGCCTGCTGAAAAGCAGAGAAGCGGGCAACAGCATCAGAGACCCGCGCCTGCTGAAAAGCAGAGAAGCGGGCAACAGCATCAGAGACCCGCGCCTGCTGAAAAGCAGAGAAGCGGGCAACAGCATCAGAGACCCGCGCCTGCTGAAAAGCAGAGAAGCGGGCAACAGCATCAGAAACCCGCGCCTGCTGAAAAGCAGAGAAGCGGGCAACAGCATCAGAAACCCGCGCCTGCTGAAAAGCAGAGAAGCGGGCAACAGCATCAGAAACCCGCGCCTGCTGAAAAGCAGAGAAGCGGGCAACAGCATCAGAAACCCGCGCCTGCTGAAAAGCAGAGAAGCGGGCAACAGCAGCAGAGACCCGCGCCCGCCAAATGGCGGAGAAGCGGGGAACCTACAGGTACCACAACAGGCTCAACAACAGCTACTCCAAAACGCACCAGCCTACAGGTCACACCACCTGAGCCACCGTCCCCCAAACGGCCGCGGGGGCTCCCACCCCCTCCAACAGAGTCTAGGGGCTTGGATGGGTCCGCGGGCCAGGGTCAGCCACAGGAGGGAATCACTAAGCAGCCTAGCTATTCGGATGCTCTTAAAGGCATCCGGGTGGCTGTACTGCCCTGTGATTACCCTGCTGCTGCCCTAAGCCCTGAGGACCTGACCAAACTCCAGGACGCCATCATGGATGAGGTCCTTAAAGGGTGGAAGCACGCACTGGTCTTTTGTGGGGTATTTTTCAGGTCAGGTATGCTCCTTGTGGACTGCAAGGATGAGCGGACCGCAGCATGGCTGGTGGATAAGGCACCAAACATTGAGGGATGGGAGGGGCCCGCGTTATGTACCAAGAGGGGGGATGATATCCCGCCGGTGCATAATATCTCGGTGTTCTTCCCAAGATGCGCCGATAAATCGGCGGAGTACGTGCTGGGGCTCATCAAGGCCCAGAATGAGGACATCCACACTGCTGCGTGGAAGGTGGTTTCATGCGGCGCCGAAGATAACGGTCTCAGGCTCAACCTGGGGATCGATGAGGCGTCGTATGTCAGCATTAAGAGGGCCGGATTCACAATCAACTTCCGGTACAGTTTTGTTACGGTGCGGCCATGGCGGCATAAGACGACAGGCAGCAAGGAGTCAGAGTCCCAAGACATGCAAGTCGACGAGACTACTGACTCCACTGCTGCCCCAGCGACCGAGTCGACCACGGCCCCACTGGGAGATCAGCTATCGGAATTAGCACAGGCACCAGCTCTTGTGAGCGCTCCCGGGCCAAGTGTCACCGACTACATGCGCACCACACAAGAGCTCCTAGCGGACATAAGCAGGCTCGAACTCGACAGAGAGGGCGAGGGTGAGGCACGGCTCTCGAACATCGAGGACGAGCCCCAACTATGAGCCCAACAGCGCTAACAGTAGCCCAGGTCAACTTGCATCACGCGGTGGCCGCCTCGGCGATCATTGCAAGCAGGTTTGCCACGGAGGACCTGGGAATCCTACTGATTCAGGAACCGTGGACCTACAGAGGCCAGGTGAGGGGCCTCAATCATAACAACAATAAGGTAATTTGGGACCTTTCCTGCGAGAGGCCCAGAGCGTGCGTAGTGCTAAAGAATAATATTAATTACTTTTGCATTACAGAATTTCTTACACAGGATCTGGTAGCGGTCCAAGCTACCTTAAGGGTCAACGGGAAGGAACTGGAGGTGGTCTTGGCTGCAGCCTACTTTCCGGGGGACAACGCCAACGTGCCGCCTCTTGAGGTACAGCAGCTGCTGGAATTTTGCCGCAGGAAACGACTTCCGGCGATTCTTGGCTGCGATGCGAACGCCCACAATATAGAGTGGGGCAGCTCGGACACAAACCGTAGGGGTGAGTGCTTATTAGAATATATTATCAGTGAAGACCTGTGCATCCATAATGTCGGTAATGAACCAACGTTCATAACCAGGGTCAGAGAGGAGGTACTCGACATCACTCTCAGCAACAGACTGGCCAGCCCTCTGATCGTTCAGTGGCGGGTCTCATCTGAGCCCTCACTGTCGGATCACAGGATTATCCGATTTGCACTGGGAGCTGAGGTTCTGACAGGTCACCCAAAGAGGAACCCCAGGAAAACAGACTGGGATAAATATGAAGAGGTACTTAGGTTGAACCTAAGCAGAATAGAGGCACAACATAGAAAGGTGGATTGTATGGAGTTAGAGGACAGGGTCAACAAGCTGAACGGCACCATTCTGGATGCCTTTACCTCCAGCTGTCCCGTGTCAAAGCCAAAAGGGAAAGCTCAGCCTCCCTGGTGGACACGGGAACTCTCAGTTCTTAGGAAAGATGTGCGAAGACTTTTCAACAGGGCAAAGCGCACCGGGAGCTGGGAGGAGTACTCAGTCTGTCTAACAAAATACAATAAGGAGATTAGGAAGGCCAAGCGTAGCAGCTTCAGAACCTTTTGTGAGAATATCGCATCTACTCCTGCAGCTGCTAGGCTGCATAAAGCCTTAGCGAGAGACAACACAGGGACCAGACTGGCTATTAGGCTACCTAATGGGGCCTTTTCAGGTAATGAACAGGAGAGGGCACTCGCCCTGCTATCGGCCCACTTTCCGGACGCCATTCCCACCGCTGGGGATACGTTGTTCCGTGCGTTCAGGCCATCCCCA